GTATCCAGCAGGATGTAAGGGGCGCCTTCATAGTACCATGTGTCCGCCGTGGTGTGATCGAACTCGGCGTCCTTGACACGCATGGCAACAGCCTGCTCTACACGGGTGAGCGGAGCCTGTGGGGCTGTGCCACGGGGCTGGTGTGGTACGTGGTCCGCATTCCAAACCACCAAGCGTTTGCTCAGGTGCTGCGCTTGCAGCATCATGAGGCGTGTGTTTAGCGCGTGCCTCAGTTCGTTTCGTTGGACAACGACACGGGGCTTGAGGGGTGTCAGGGCCGCCAAGCTAGAGATGGCGCGCGCATTCAGCTTGTCGACGAGCTCCTCAATGCGCTTGCGGGTGACTGGGCCACCTGCAAACATGGTGGAGGCCTCGGCGAGGTAGATGCCCCCTGGAGTGTTGTTCTGGTGCTGCTGACGGGTGAGTAAGAAGACGTCTTGGGCGAGGTTGCGGTAGAGGATGAACCCGTTGTGGATATGGTCATGTGTCTGTGGAACTGGACGTCGACGCCTGGTGGATGGTGCTGCACTGTTGTCAGTTGAGGAGTCAGATGCGACTGTGTGCTCGTCTTCTGACGTGGACTCTCCCTGATGCACGCGTTGTGAGTTGGGTGCAGAGGGTGTGAAGGCAGGCTCCTGCTCCAGCTGTGCTGCGTAGTGATATGCCGGGTGTCCGCCGGGTTGGGGATGTTGGCAGGGATCACCAACACCAGCTGCTGCCCGGCCTGCCAGTACGTGTGCTGCCGCGTCTGTGGCGGGCACGTGCAACATCGGGGTGAGATGTTTATTGCACGCATTGTAGATGGCGCCCAAATGCTCGATGCTGCTCATGCCGATTTCGTCGATGATGATTGCACCGGAGCCCACATTGCGGTGTACCTGTGCAGCAGTCAGCGTGTAGGGAATGGAATGTTGGTTGATATGGGATGAATTGGTTATGATGTACAGTGTAATGCAAGTGGTAGACAGTAGCGCGTGATGTGTTTGGTTGGTTGTGGGAAAGAGTCCGTTTTGCATAACATGCTTACCTGCAAGGCGACGGCGCTGCCACGTTTGGAGCGCCCGTGTCCGATGCCCATTGCTGCAAGGCCGAACATGGCGTGAGTGGAAAGGCTGCGATGCGTGTCATTGTGGAAGGCGGCAGCAGCAGTCCAGGCGTATGCACAGGTGGCAGGCCACTCGGGTACACCATGTTGGAATGTGTACCAGAGCAGTGCGTGTACGAACTGTGATTTGCCGGTACCGGGACGGCCCACCACAAGCATGCGAGGTGGAAGTCCAGGGTCGGGCTCTGCAAGGCGATCAAAGTACCGGGCCATGAGGATGAACGGTACTGCTTGTTCTGGCGATAGGGTGAAGAGGTGAATGGTATCCTCGATGGTGGGTGGCTGAGGTAGACGAATGTAAGGTGGTGTATTGCCGGCCGGCACAGGTTCAGGTGCATGTCCCTCGACTTCAACTATGGCGACAATGGGGCTGACGGACGAGGTCTGCCGGTGTAGACTTAGGCGACGGTTGGGCTCAACGCCGTCTTGGGGGGTAGTGTTGGTAGTGTACCATTTTAGGCGCCGAGCTGCCTCCTCGAGGGCCGTCATATCGGCAGCATTCACACGACGCAGTAGATAAGAGGCGGAGGTACCATGGCCGCTCACCAGCATGGGGACAGGGCATCGTACGACGGCATCATATGCATACAATCCACTGGCAGTGGTACGGTCGAATAGGGTACCGATCGGTGTGGCAGCGAGGTCCAGGCCGGCAGTAGGAGCGGGACGCGGCTGCTGAGGGTGGCCTTGTTCGATCTGTGTATCACTGGCAGGCCATGTCTCAGGGTGTGTCTGGAAGTGCGCATCTTGCGCCTCAGCATTGCCGTCATCATCATTGTCAGCCCGATATCCGCCAGGATCCTCCGTGGGGGGTTTGTGCTTGCGCCGCTGTTGGTTGTACTGTTCGGTGTGGCGCGCACGGGCAGCGTGGTCCTGTTCAATGTTGTCCAAAATGGCCGCCACACATTGCTGGTACCGGCGGCCAGATTCAGTGGTGGCTAGCTCAGACCACCACTCGTCGTATGCTTGTTGCACCGTTAAGTTAGGGGGCACAGGCACGCCACGATGTGACTTGAAGGTACCTAGCACAAAGGCATAGTACTCATCAGCGTCCGCTGGCTTGGTGCGTTCAGTCGGCCGGCGCGGGAGGGAGCCGCCTAAGAGGACGTACTGTGGACGGGGATGACGCTTCAGGACGTGGCTAAGATAGAGTGGATGGCTGGGATGCAGAGCCACTAGTCGGGCTGCATTAGTGACATTGTTGGTACCACTCGGCAATTGTTCCAGCGGTGGAGGTGACGTTACGGTTGTAGGGGCTGGTTGGTTGGGCGACGCTCCATGCACGGAAGGTGTGAGTACTGCACTGTTGGTCGCGGTGCGTTTGCGGCCATGGCGGCTAGGTAGGACCACACCTTGGAGGGTAGTAGCGTGCGGGTGTTGTGCTGGTTGCACGTGAGCCAAGCTGTAGTTGCTTGCCAGCGTGTATGCACTGCATTCCAAGCCGCTAAGCTCCGGGCCGCGGAGGATGTAGTTTTGCACCGTGTTGGAGATGACATAGTCGTCGGTGTTTGTATCTGTGTTTACGAGCGCGACTTCCACTGCGCCATCCTCATTATCCGGTCCAGCTCCAGGTGTGTTTGCCAGTGCTGTGAACCCACCGACGGGGAGGTAGCTGCGCTGGTACGATGCCTGGAAGGTGTCGTATCCGGACAGTTTGAACGCCGCTAGTGCCATGCCCACGGTGATGGTGGCGGTCATGCGATGTGCGGCGGCCGCAAGGTTTCCGAAGGCGGTAGGGATGGTGGCGGCAAGGTCCGGGTTGTTGACAGGCGGTGGAGGGACGCCTGATAGCAAGAAGTCTTGTACACGGGCGACGGCATTACACAAACGGTCCGCTTGGCTGCGTTCAATGGTCTTGGCCGTGTATTTGGACGTGTAGTACGCCACATCACGTGCGTGATCGGTAGCAGAGCCCAGCGGTTCCTCTGGTGCGGGTGTCTCATTCCCGTCGGCTGCTGTTTCTAGCTGTGCTGCGACTTCCGTCGTATATGCACGGTCCACTTCGCAGGCCAGACTGAAGAGCTGGTTGCAGCCGAACGCGAGCGCTGCTGCAGGGAAATGCGGCACGAGGTTGCGGCCCAGCCGCGGCAGCAAGAACAGACCCTGCGTGCCGATCCACCAAAATAGGTGTCGTATGATGCGCGGGAACGCCATACCGCAGCTGCCGTCGGTGCCTGTGCAGCCGTGTCGGACACACACATCGCTGTGAGTGTGTGTAAGGGTCGTTCGCAGTACAGCAGCGTGATGTGCATGGCATGCTGCGTGCTTCTCGTGTGGTGGCAAGCCGCCATTACTGCATCCAGCCAGCCGCTCGAAATTGTAGGCCGCACGAGGGCAGCACTTGTCTGCGGCTGGTGGCGGTATGCCGTGTTGTGCCGTCTCTTCTGGCGACATCTGGAATACACGGCGGCTGTCTTCCGGTACTGATGGGTCATAGTAAGGGGACGGGTACCACTGCTGACATAACGCGTACGCCAGTGCCAGGGCACGGCAGTTAGGGCCATTAAACAGCGCCTGGAGCCGTTCCACCGCAAAGGTTGCCACATGCGCTACACCATGCACGTGCAGCGCCAGGCGACCGCTCTGCTCCACCTTGGTCACCACTTCAAAGGTCCGGCCGCAGAAGCAGTTGGTGTTGCTCTGTTCCTGCGCGCCGGGTGCAAAGCCAAAGAGCTGTTCAACCAGTACTTCCTTCGTCGCCACCAGCAGCATTGCACAGCTGTATGGATCGTCTCTGACCCGTCGCCATCTCTCAACTGTGCTGGGAATGTTTTGCGG